AGAATCTCAGGTTTGAGTTAAATGTAGGTAGATAGAGCACCTGCTTATATCTCCTGTTGGTTAAAAGACATTAGCAGGCCCTAATTCCCTCAGTCTTCAGTATAGTTACCTGATTATTCCTGTATTACAATACCACCTTAATTGCCTAAAACGAAGCTCAAAGGGCAAATGTCATTAAATGATTATGGCAATCAGAGTAATATCACAGTTCTCCCTCTTTTAAAGGATGATCTTCCATTTGTAACATTTTATAATTTTACATTTCCTAATAGCTCAAAACAAAGCCCAATACAGTATTAGCCTTAATTTAACAGGCATGGTATAAGTAACAACACTATGTGATCCTTTTCAGGGATTCTGCTTATTTTGCATACAGAAAGTTTATTGGCAAATCATCGCTATTCAAATTCAGTGCCACTCAGCCTTTACTTACTACTTCCTGCAGAATCCCTTCCACTTATTATTGTGCTAACCGTGAGAACTCATTTATAAGGCAGAATAATCAGTTTTGACAAAAGCAGTCCAGTTGTAAGCTCTCAGCCTTTTGTTCATAGCAACACTTTTTTTCCAAAGCAGGTAAGAACCATTTCTGCCCAACACAGGCCTTCTGCTGTAGGGAGTAAACTCTTCAAAAGCCCAGACAAAGGCATTCTGATCCTGCAGGTGTCAGGTGCATAGTTATGACTAAGCACAGCACTTGTTTTTGGAACAATTTTGCTTTTTCCCTGGAATGGGTATTGGAAGAACAGAGGTAGTTGATTCAGTTATGCTCTGCTAAGTCCCTTTCATCTCTGTTTCCAGACAATGGGCTACTGGTGGCAGCCCAGCTTCAAACACCAGCCCCACTCTTGAGCAAGCAGGCACTGACTGCACTTTCCAATTAATGAGCTCTTATGAGGCTGGCAGTATGAGACACAGTCCAGTGGATTGTATAACAACAAAGATAGCTGAGTGACTAGAGCAACATCTGGAAAGCAGCAATCAAACAGCTTTTTTTTTTTTTCTCCTCCTGTTGAATTAAATGTTAACATTTATTTTTTTTCCCCTACAACAGGTGACTCCTGTATCACTCTACAACATTTGTCTGCATAAGCACCGCTTGCACTTAAAAATTAGTGACAAAGGAGACCTGGTGCAAAGCTTCCACAACCCTGATGGTCGTGTCACTTGGGCCATCAGTGATGCCTTTGAGCAGAAGGGGAAGATATAACCAGGTAACACAGAACTGCCTCTGCTGATGGTGGTGTTTGAGCTAAAGGCTCATATATAAATATATATAAAGGCTATATATATACACACACACATATATATATATAAAGCAGTATTCATTCAAGCAGCTATTAAATATTTTTCCTACTTAACAGGAGGCTGGTTTAAGCAACAAAGTAGAATAATTGAAATTAATATCAAATAACTGAAGTGGAGCACAAAAAGGCTTGTTTTAGAAGCTTGGAAAAGCTTCAGCTCCAGCTATGTTAGATGCAAGTCACTCCCTTCTGTACTTTAAGGAAATAGTTGTTTTTGAACAGTTGCACTAAGTTTTTTGAGGAATTCAGCTCTAGCCAGGCAGCAAGGCACAGACTACATACACTAGTCTTACCTGCAGTTCACTTTTTGAAAGACTCCTCATTCCTCTTCTCTGGGACTGAGAACATAATTAAAAGCAGTTAGGAACAATAGTTCCTTTTCTTGATGTAGTAGAAGATGTGGAAAACCAACAGTGCCCCCCCCACCAAAAAATATTTCTGAATAGATGCAGCTTATATTTAAGTCTTCTCACCTTTCACTGTTTTTTCCCCTAGCACAAGTAAGTCAGGTCATGCTTGGCTAGACACTGCCCATAACCAACCGCAGGCTGGGCCAGTAACTGTGACCATAAGGAAGCAATAGTCACAAGTTACATAATAGCACAACAGGCAGAGAAGGGCTCAAATGATAAACCCAGGCTCTTAGCTTGATCTGTGGGAAAGGTTTAACTTTGGTTCAATAACAGAAGGATCAGGAATTTGATAGGCAGTTTATTTTGTCTTTACCCAAAAGTGCAGCAGTGAACAGGGTCCTCTTGAAGGGCACTTTCTAAACAGATATTCCAAACAGCAGAAATTAAGTATGTTTACAACATGCTACAAAGTATGCTCGCATACAGAGAAGAGTAATACAAATAAAATACACTTTAATTGAATCAAAATAAAATTTGACAATTATTTAATTATAATCAAATCTTATATTCAGTTTAGGTAATTGATCAGACTAAAATGTGATAATTTGAACAGATTTTTACACCTGCTTTGTGTGTATGCATATGTGTGAGTTATACAGATTTGTTCCCAAGGGACAAGAATGACAGTTCTTGTGGCCTATGCTGACTAAGGAGAGAGTTAGCTGTATTTGCTTATACTGAAGTAATGGTTTGAGTAAGGTTTTCAGTTTAGGTTATTGTAATAAGGGATCTGTTAGCCATATTTCTCACTGTAGAGTGAGGCCACCTCCTTTGCTAGATCAGAACCAGGTATGAACAAACAAACCAACCAACCATCACATTTCACTTGCATCCAAACGCTACACCTGTAAGGTCCCTCTGCTTGACTATAGGTGCTTTCAGTAACAGGGTACTGAAACAGCCACGGTCGAATCATGTATCAGAGGGAAAGCGAGGAATTTTAAAATGACTTACTGGAGAATTAGATGTGGCTGCAAGTTAAAAGTTCCTTCATAAGATTCCTTTAATTGTCAAGGATAAGAATTAATACTGTCCATTCAGGGCTGCACAAAATACCCCTGGAGTTGACTGCTTCTTGCAAAGAACCCCAAGCCACTTTGCAGCAAGCTCCAAAAAGCTGTGGGACCCGGGCAGGCAGCAAGGCCTGCGCTCCCTGCAAGGTGCTTCTGCTGGAGCTGTAAGTCTCCCGTCTGTGGCAAAGAGCAAGTGAAGCAGGTATTTTCCTGAACAGCTTTTCTCTTTTGGTGGAGTTAAGGGCTGAGTAATTCTATTCCAAAATTTATTGCCTGTGACAGATTGCAGGTATAGGGTGGTTCTCTGACCCTAGTGTAGGATATTGAGCCTCACTACAGACAAACACTTTTACATCTCTGCAGATAGCAAGAGTGTTAATTTGAATAAAATCTTCTCTGATGTCACTTCTGAACATTGTGTTGATTCTATTCAGTTAATTTTCATGTCCATTATTAGCACATTATTTATTAAAAAATTGCTTGATATGGCTTAGATCATTTTAAGACAAGATAACATTAAATTGATCAACTTACAAATTTATACTCTGGCAAATTTTCCTCTTAGGAAGCATCATGACAGCTTGCACAGCAATTCAAGTGTGTCATGCCCCATTTCTTAGATAGGGCAGAACTGGTGGTTAGGGTTTAATTTGCAGCTATCAACTTATTTCCCTCTAGCCTCTACATAGCTACCAGAACAAATTTAAGTTGCTAAAAATAGCTGAGCAAAACACCACTTAAGTGAACTTTAGGCTTAGCTCAGTGTGCAAGAACAAACACTTGAGAGCATAGAAACAACTTTGGTTTTGTTTTTAAACAGAGGCCAGGGTGTGAAGGGTATCAATGAGCGGCTCAATGAAGAGAACAGGATAAAGCTACAATTGTAGCAGAGGGAAACGAACCCAAATCTTGAGTATCTGAGAGCATGCAAGTAGACAGTAACCAAACTCAAGCATTTATACAGATACTCCAGCAGAAGAGTTCTCCCTCAAGCTATTTTTTCCTCCAAAGGTTTGGTCACTTTAGAGATATACACAATGAGCTAGATTTGAGACAATGATGCTATAAAAACTTAACCTGTATTCCATCACAGAAATCTTACAGCTCTAAGCTACATGAAGGTCAACATCTGTCCTTTGGAAGGAAAAGGGAAGAAAATTCAGCTGCTCTGGACAGAGCCTTCCTTTTAGCCAGTTTGTGATGTATGCACTGGAGCACGTACCTTTGTGGGCTCGGGAAGAGTCAGAGCTTTGTTGCCTGCTTGGTGTTTACCCGGCAGGAGGGTTCATTAGCTGGGCTGCGTTTCAGGTGACATCACCCTTCCAAGGGAGCCAAGCGGCTGCGTGCTGCAGTCACGGGGCTGGCGCGCAGCCCCGCGCTGCGAAGGCCACTTACTGCAGGCTCCCAGTAGTTACATCTCAGTGAAAGAACAAATCTAGAAAGTGCTTAAAACTGCGTAAAATAGCTCTCTTGCTATTGCCCTGCACATTTGTATGCTAGTTTGCTTTCAAAGTTTACCTTCAAGCATCTAAATGGCTTAAGTTGTTAGACAGTTGGAAACATTTGGAGGTTAGAGAAAGATGAGCTCTATTGTGGTGCCTTGCTCTTGACTTTCCATGTTCCTGTTCACATATCCAAGCTTACTTAGATAAGCTCAAAGCAGGCACACACTTACTTGAATCCTTGTTAGTCTCAACCCTGTTCTATCATAACTCATTCATATTCATTATCACATCTTAATGATAACTCATTAAGAAGCCTAAAACCTTACCTCTGGAAGTCACAGTAGTACACAAACCTACTCTAGCATCCCACACTAGAATGAGGTTGAATTTACATTCTTGTTTACAAGCTACCCAAGCAGATCCATCAAATGCATTAGTATCACTTGAAGTGGTCTTGCCCAAAGAAAGGGCTTAGCTTTCTGATGTTAACTCTGCACAAGACACTCGCCAGTCAGATCCTAGTTTTGGCTAGTGCCTTCCTGTGCCATTTTGGGCGACTTCTCTATTGTCATCAACAGCTTTGAGCTCAGCACGAGAAACCCATAATTAAGCCTAGCATTTCAGAAAGTCCCTATGACAGGGTGTGAACATGGGTGAGCACTTCCTGCCTACCTAACCACATTCAAGTGTGTATTTGTTTTGTTTTTTTTTTTAAGAAAAAAAACTGTGTTCAGATTTGGAGGCCATAGGTCACCTCTATGCCTGTGATAAGAAAAAAAGTACTTGAAAGACAAAGGTGGTAATCAATTATCTGAGCAAGACAGATTAGCTATGTCTGACAATTTAGAATTACAGTTCAGCTGTAAAGTTACATGTTGCACAAGGCAACCAGCTAAAGACGAGGGGGTTTCTTCCAAACTGGGTTTGAACAGCCCATTAATAGTCTTCCAGCTGTGATCAAAGGTGAGAAACAGACCTGCTGCAGTCACTGGAGAAACTGGTCATTGGGAGCTGATCACGAAGAGCTCCTAAATGCTCTATAGGGACTGGGCAGAAAACCTGCGAGCCCGAACGCCGTGATTGCTGAACATGAGGCGTGGGTCAAACCGGTACCTGTAAAAGGAAACCATGTGTGTGAACTCCAGGTAGCACACAGTAACTAATACTCCTAGAAATTGCTTATTTGCAGAATAGCTGGTACAGTGCTATACAAACGGCTGGGGTTGAGAGTGTGCAGCAGGGACATTCCCTCTACATACAAAAACAGATAAGCCGTGATGATATAGAACGAATATGCTGATGTTACCAGAAGAATACTAGCTATGCCACATCAAGTTATGCTTAGCAGGTTAAATTACAATGAAGATTAAAATAAGAATCAGGAAGTCCTTCCCATTAAAGCAAAAGCATATGTTAGTGATACTCATTCCGCCATAAACATCCGCTGTGAAAGCTTATCTATGGTTACACTTAACAGCACTATAGCCAGTCAAAACAGTATTTACCCGGGATCAAAGACACCTGGCGTGCGGCACGTTGCTCCTGAACAGGACTGCAGCATCATTAGTCGATAGTTCATCTTTTCCAGAATTTCTTGGTCTATCGTTTTAGCAATATTATTGATCTGGTGCGGGTCTGCAGTCAAGTTGTACACTTCCACAAACACCTGCTCAAGAGAAGAAAGTGCCTGTAGTATACTAAGAGCTCGTCGAGGCTAACAACATTATTTTGGAAGAACAGTGTATGACAGCATAAGATATAAAGTATTACACTGCAGCATTCCCATGCATAAGCTCACAAACCCAAAGCAAGAGACCATGACGAAATTCCTGGCCACGGCTGTCATTTCACTGACTCATCTAGACAGACGCACAGCCATCAGGTCACCTTTGTGTGGCTGCTGTGGATATGCAGCTGTACAACTCGAACACGTCTTACGTGTGCATACAAAGTATGCTGAATAAAGGTATACTAGAAAAAACGCTTTGTGCACTTTGGAGGTTTGCTTTTAGGGCAGATTCAGCTTCTGGCAGAATAGGTCTTTGAACCATTTTGCAGGACAAATACTGGGCAAACATCTCAAGAATACAGCTAGAGTTCTGCGTGTGCTACAGTAGGTGCAATTGCAGCAGATGAGAGTTAAAGCTGACAGCAATTTAGCTGTATCCAACCTAAAGACACCTCCACAGAAGCTACAGTTCCAAGGTCTCTTCTTCAGCACAAAGTTTTAAAATCCACATTGCTGCATCTTCCTGGTGTTATTAGTCCAAGTTCAGCTGACCTGGTAAAATGGGTAACCCATAACTGCAGCAGCTTTACTTTTTACAGGAAAACAAGATGACAAAATCCGAGATCAGCTTTGGAGTCTACTTTTACCAAGATAGATATAGCATTCATTCTGCTTCATCGTAAGTTGTCAGCAAGTGGAAAAGAGGCCAGAGACTGTTAATCACCCCTGCATGTCATCCTGGCTTTCTGCAACAACCTAGTCATAAGTTCTAGTCTCAACCTAGAACTCAACCTAGTATCAGTTCTTCCCCTGCCTCCCCAAAGGAAGGAGGGAGAAAGAGAGCAGCAATTGAATGCAAGGAGAGCAGCAGAAGTACCTTGTAACAAAAATATTTGTAGTACAAAAGAATCTGCTACATGGAACTATGATAAGAGAAGAGAACCCAGGTGCCCACAAGGCTGTGAGATGACCAATACTAGAAGGCAGTTATCATAGTTTAGGCTATTCCTTCTCCCTCTCCTCCCCCCCCCCCCCCCCCCCCCCCCTTTTTTTTTTTTTTAAAAACCCAACCACAGAGTTTTGGCCAAACATCCTCCTCAGTATTTGAGCACTGCTGCTTATCCTGCAGGCAAGGCTAATCTGCCACACAGAGCACTCATGCAAACCTTGGAGACAGATAAGCCTGCAGACAGTGCCTAGCAGCTGTGACGCGTTGGCGTCCGTTGGCGAGACCAAGAGTTACCTCGCGGTCATCGAATTCGCAGTACTGCAGGTCCCAGGAGGCCGAGAGGGTCCGCACGCAGGCGTACGTGTTGTTGTAGGAGTCTTCACACACACAGTCCGGGAAGCAGTGCTGTGAGGAGAGCAGCACACGGGCACTTCAGAGAAGCTAGCAGTCCTTTCCCCAAAGCCTACAGCAACAGTGACTGCTGAACACCAAAATCTTAGGAAACAGGTGCTAGTCTCCACTGGGAGTTTTAAACAGAAATGCTGTTCTGAATTTGAGAAAGTAACTAGTTAACTTTCACCAAAATATGATGCTTCCCAGACAAAATTCAAGTACAGCAAACAGAATGGCAAAACAAAACCAAACAGCCCACTAGTAAAATGACCTCGGATTTTCACAGCATATCTAGTGACGTAACAGTTTCAGATAAAAACTGTGTGGCAAGGCCTCCAGAGGCCTGTAAGGAACATTAAATCACTGCCACCCATTTCCAAGGCCACATCTTTACAGATAATTCCAGGGGTCCTCTAGTCCGGAGGCCCTATTGTTTCCCACAGAAAGGGGGCTTATGCTCTATACCACATGCAGGTATCAGTTTGGTATGGTTGGGCGCATGGCATCTCTTATTTCTGTTGTACTGCACTACAGAGCTGCCTCCTACATGCCAAGATGCTGAAAACTATTCTCTAGAAGCTTATTTCCAGAGCCATGTTAGCCCACAGAACAAAGAGGTTTAACTCTGCAGCTGTCTGATAATAACAGATTTGGCCCCACTTACTGTCACGCCAGGTCCCAGGCCAGGGCAGGTAGGGTCGCTGCCGTTGTAGCCTTCTCCTTGGTACTCCACCAAGAAGTCCGATCTCCAGGAAACGTTCTTGTCTCCTCTCTGGAACAGGAAGTTCATGACTTGAGTGCACTGGGAAACAGAGCAAGTTTTCCCTGGGCTCCCACCAGGGCCGTTCTTCCACAGTCGTTTGAGTCATGGGCCCCACATTGAGTCAGTCTTGTGATATACAGCCTTTTGTTCAAATTGGAAGACAGATCCAATTCAAAAACCCAAACCCCAACAAGGTGGTGCCCTAAAGTCCTAGCTTTGATTCAGAATCACACAATAAAATAAAATAGGAAGCACGTTGCCAGGTGATACTACTGTATTATAGGCAATAATAATAGGGCCGTTTGTTTAGCTTTTAAATTAAATTACCACAACAGACGAAAATAAATACAATAATAATAAAAAGATAGCATTGGCTTAAGAAACAGTTTCAAGCAGCAACTAAGTTTCAAGCTGATCTACCTGTAGCTACTTTTAAAAAGCTAGAAGTGGAAAAAAGCTTTACCATACACTTATGCAATAGAAGCATGAATCCACAGTTTGGACTGCGACAGTTTAAACTAGATGCCTTTTACCTGCCTCCATCTAAAGAACAGCTTAAGACTTGGATAGAAGGTTTTAATAGCAAAGCACTGTTTTAAATCTGGATGATCTCCTACCTTTCCAAGTAATCCGCCTTCAATTTATAGACTAAATTTAATTAAAACTAAAAGGATCAGCTACAAGCAGCTTTATTTAAATAGGCCTCTGCTCACTTATTGGAAGGTCAGATTTGCTTTATGAAACCAGGGAAGTTTTGCCAGAATTTAGCAGGGGGAGCACTAGCTCTTACTTAGAACTGAAAGAAACAAAAAATCCACTGGCTGAAGTCCAGTTCACTTTGAACAAAATCCTTAGCATTACTGCTTACTATCCCTGTCCATCCACTTACCAGCAGTGGCAGTAGTGACATCCCATCCATCTGAGTCTTGTTCAGGTCATACCCTGCGATATCCAGAATAGTGGGACCCAAGTCGATGTTTGCAACAAGCATCTGTAGGGTGAGGGAAACTTACTTCTGAAAATTGGAGCCTAACAGGTATAATAAGACTTGCGTATTTTAAGTACTAGCAACTTGATGTACATCTAAACAGAATCTGTAACATTTCCAAGAAAAATACATACATATATTTTAAAGTGTTAGGTAGTCTCTGCACCTCATTTTTGCAGTTTGCGATTCTGTCAATTTACTGATCAAAGGCAGAGGCTCTTAGATTAAAAATAAAACAAAACAGGTCTTTGTTGCTTGCACTGCCCTACAGATTTCACTTAAGTGTGCAGGGGCATGAAGTGCATCTAAAGCTGGTAACTGCAAATCGATATTAAAAGCAAGCTTTGCCTTCAGTTCTGATTACCTTGTTGGTCTGATTTGGTTTTATTCCTGGTCCTCGGACTAGCAGTGGAACTTTGATATCAAACTCGTACAATTGCCGTTTGTCTATTGGCAGTGAGAACTGGCCTATTCAACAAGATCAGAAAGGGAAAAAAGTAATTTTTTTTAAAAAAAAGCAATAACCCATATAATTTCTAAGAACCATTTTTAAGTAGTCAGAAAAGGTTCCTAACAATAAGTACAAGAACTAAGTGGGAAGATGTGCACTTGAAAATACAAACCACCTTTTACAGGATTTAACAGCTTAGTTGTGGGTTTTTCAGTTGTGAAACATGATACCAAGAGAGCTCTTGAAAGCAGCTTTTTACTGGTCAATTCCTTCTACAGAACACAGACCTTTTCCCCCATTTCTGCCCTAGTTGTACATATACTACTGTATAGTGGTAGAGTAACACGCAAACAACAGCAACAAACAATTGCAACACAAATTAGTACTTCCCACATGGATAGTTTTTCCACAGCTGCTGTCTCCGTATTCTGGAGGCTGACAAAGTAAAGAATTCTGAGATAATCTAGAAGTTTTCAGTAAGCAGTGAACACCTTACCAGTATGAAAGCCGTTATCTGAGGTATAAAAGATGTAAGTGTTATCTAACTCTCCATGAAATTCCAGTTTCTTCACTAACTTCTCTATCAGGTCATCTACTGACAGCAGAGTTTGCCACCTATACAGAAACATGAAAGTAATTCATACCAGAATACTGAAGTTTAGAAAAATTAGGAATTTTGTTAGCATTCATACTGTTGCTTTAAATCAGCAGTGCACACTCCATAAGCAGATTTTATGTATTCTGAAAACAAACTAGATAGATTACTGTACTGATTGAGGCTGCAGTTTTAGATAGAAATAGACAGTTTGGCTTCACTTCTTGTTGATTTTGTTCTGTAGTGTCTGCGAAAGGTCAAATGCTGATACTTGTAATCTTATCTGGAAACCAGCTTTGAAGCAACACAAGCAGCAAAGAGTCAGAGTGATCTCCCACAAGGTCTCTTGCTGCTCTGTGTTAGTAATGTATATCTAGTTTTAATATTAAACACAAATATTCCTTGAACTAAATTATTTATGCAGGATCCTTTTTGCTTGAAAACTATATCAAGTATTTTGCATTCTCCTTTCAATATTGGGGTTCATTACTCTGGAGTTTGTACAGGCCTTCCTGTGTCGTGTCAGCTGTTGCAACAACTGACTGCTGCCAACAAACCAACAGTAGGTCTCTACAGACTAGTATTATGCTGAATTAACTAGATTATTATATTCTTGGGCTCCACCGTCTTCAGGCTGTATTTAAAGTTTCACTGCATAATTTTACTTGTTTCATAAAGCTAGCACCCAAAAAGAACAACTTAGCCTTCCATGTTCAAGGTGACAGGCTAGCACACAGTAACTGCCCAAAATGGAGCTTAACATTTAAAGGTAGACTAGCATCCATCTCAGACCTTTTAAGGAAAATATTCCTACAATATATGCCCATACCCACTTTTATTTACACATTCACTTAAATAAAATAAGGGATTAAATGTACCTTCACTTTACCCCCCTGTCCCATCTCTTAGAAAAAGAAAAGAAACATCCTCCTTGACTAGTTGGTTATGACAAGTATTCCCATTTAACAAGGGCACATTTGAAGAGACAAGGTTACTAGAACAGATTATCTGGCACATAAATCGATTGCAGTTGAGGTATCCACATAAGAATCTGCAATTCAAGTGCCTCTGAAGAAGCATACATTTTGTACACAGAAAGTCAGAGCAACAGTGAAGAAACTCAGCATGACTGGTCTCTACCAAAAACGATAGCAACATTTGCAAGCAAAAGATTTCAAAAGCCTATTGCAAAAAATCAAACTGAAACAAGGTCTGTCAAGGCGAATCCCCCAAAACTATTACAGGTTACTTGTTGTCAACTGTCAGATTTACTACAGCCCTCAAAGAAAAAAGAATATATATTTTTTGAAGAGCTAAGAGTTCTAATCATAGGAGTTTAAGAAATTAGAAGAAACTCATACCTCTTTCTGTAAGCATCATCAAGAAACTGTATTGAAGAGTTAGTCATTGGAGTCTTTGCTTGTCGAATTAACCAGTGCTTGTTCTGAAGAAAAAAGACCAAAAGGTTAATGCAGCAGAGAAGAGGAGACAATAGCCCCGCACCAGCTTCTGAACCTTCCTTGGACAGACCACAAGTGCTGCTGCGGGGAAAGAGCCGCTTGGTGCCCGTGCATGGCTACACGGGGCTGCCAAAGTGCCTCCTGCTTCCCCTGTGCAGCGTGTGAAAGTCTAAGCTGAGGGAGCAGCTGAGAGCTCCCGTATACACAGGCCTCAGTGAGAAAACTGCTGTGGATTCTTTTTTCAAAGCAACCTGGGATGAAGTTTGTGGCAGGATCTGGTCTAACAGTTCTGCCTATAGTTACCAAAATCCAGCAAGGAGCCCAATACAGGTCTGAGAGGGGAGAAAAAAAAAGAATTGAGCAGCCTCACAAGATTAGACCTGGTTGTCAAAGTGGGGTTCTTTTGGGACTGAGACAGGCGTGTGCACATCCCAACATAGGGAGAGAGGCAGGGCAGGAATTCCTGCATTAAAAGTAAAGGGCTAATCAATTTATGGAGAGGCAACAACAAAAATCTTTAATAGCGCCATAATTATATCATGGTAGTCCATAAACTCAGGATTGGAGGCTATTGAAGGGAGCAGAAATACCACAGGGTATGGATTTTTTTTTTTTTTTAAATGGCAGAAAGTGTTGGTTTTGCTGAAGGGTAGTATCTTCTAGCTTCAAACCCAGTCTTCAGGAACAGCAGCTGAGACAGTTTAACTCATGAAAAATGATGCATGGACACATCCTGAAACAATCTGCACTGGGCCAGCCACTGTTCAGGTACACGGAAAGGTTTGTGTACAGCTTAAATTTGTGTTGTCAGGGAGCAGAAAAAAGGGAGAGAGTGCAACTTTAAGCTTTTGCATTTAATAAGTCAGAAAGAACTGCATCCATTCATCCTCATCTCCAGCCTGTATTTGGTTGGGACACTCTTTGCAGAGCCTCTAGTTATACAATTTCCCTCCTGTCACAAGACCAGCTATGAAAGGGCTCAGGCTTTAAGGACTCACAATGAAGTGACTCATGTTCTGCAGTTTCTCAGTTTCCCTGTTTTCTGCTTTGGCAAAGGGAAAGGGGGAAGTTTTAGTTCAGTTATACTCACATTCTACTTTTATGACAACTGTAAAATATATCTCTGGAGAAATGCCAGGTCTGTCTCAGCAAGAAAGCTGACCAGATGACCAGGACCAAACATCCAGCCCATACCACCAACAGGTTTCAGGAACTTCCCAAAGCACCTAGATGTCTTTGTGGGGTCCCTGTCAAGTTTCTCTGTCCACCAAGTCCTGCTTTCTGCCTGCACCCTGCTCTTGGAGGAAGTCCAGGAGACCTTGAGACAGGATCCTGTATCTTGCTAGCAGGACCTGAGAAGAGCTGTGCTCTGATCTCACAGGCAAAATAACTCACATGACAGAAAATATATGACCTGTCTCTCAGTCAACTTCTGTCTCAGGAGAGTTTAGTGACACCACTCTGATGCATCAACAGTCCAGCTTCAGAAACCAGGTGGGTGCCTATACCAAGTGATCAGTTAGAGCTGAGGATCTTAAACAGATACTAGAGCACTCAGGACTGCCCAGAGCCTGACAAGAATTTCCATCCTACCCTTTACATAGGTCCCCCCTGCCTGGCTCCTTTCAATACCCCTTACCCACACAATATGCAAGGAAACCAGGAAATTGGTTCAGCCACAAAGACTGGTACAATGCAGGGCTGCCCAGCAAACATTACACCATCAGCGACTTGAGTGCCACAAGTCCTGAACATCTGTTTATCCTTCTTGTAGGAAGTGCATGTGCTCTAGGCACCAGTGCGGCTCCGAACAGACTTGGGCCTCGGGAGCAGCCGCTGCCAGTTGAAGGAAAGCTGACTAACAATGATCACAGCTACCCTGTCTCTAGGAAGAGGAGCAACGTCAGTCTGTTCCCACTGTGAAACAGATCACAATTCTGCACTCACAGATACTAACTACCAAACATGAAGTTATTTGGCTTTGTATTATGTAGGCCTGGACAGAGCTTTTGCCTTTGCTCTGCATACAACCATACCTTATTTCATGGAAAGATTCTGATCCCACTCCTTAGTGGAGGCACTTTAGCCTAGCCTGTTAGGTGCTATTCTTGGCTACTTGCAACCTTCCTTCCCTTCTGTTCAGGGGTACATCATACTGGTAAGCATACAGCTATTCCACCAGCTGTCATCTTCAGCCCAAAAAATAAGTCTCAGCCTGGACTGCACAAGTCACAATGACCCATTACAAGATATTAGTAGCAAAACTCTCAGTGTAACAATAATCAGCCCTGTACATTTAAAATAACTAAACAGTAGGCATATTAGCCTATTCTTCTCAACATTTCAACATGCAACATGTTAACTGTCTACTGCTCTTATTACTGAGGGAGCCCACGCAGATTCTGCCCAGTCAGCCTACCTTGCCATGGATGTTAAAATTGCTGTTTCTTGGTGCGCTGACGTTCTGAAAACTCTTTGCATACTGAGGAGCAGCTGTCCAGGGTGAGTGTGGTGCAGGGGTAGAGATCATCATGAAGAAGGGTTCAAAGTTTGATTTGTACTCCAAGAAGTCCAAAGACATGTTGGCCTGCAGTCAAATTTGTTGGAGGGGGGAAAAAAAGGTGTAATGCCATAGGAAAACAAGTACTACTCAAAATACAAAAATACTTATAGCTTTTATATAGAGCTTGACAGCACTGGAATGGTTGTACTACTGCAGAAACTCACTGCTTGCACCTCTATATCTGAAATTGCAGTTTGTGATTACTTCATCTCAAGCATTCATGTTAAACAAACCATCTCATATTTCTGACTAGCATTCTACTTTGCATTATCTAGGTTGTGAAGGCTCATAAAAAGGTGGTAAAGAATGACTTCAACTTTTCGTCTAATTCAATCTACTCCAAGTATCTACAAAATCCACCTAAACTCTTCCTTTATTGAGTAAAATGAGATTTTATTATTATTTGATAACGTCTTGAATCTTTCTGATGCTCTCAGACACAATCTCCTGCCTGGCAAATCAGAGTTTGGCAGTTTCAGTAGTCATCTGAAATGGTAATTGCTCTAAGAAGCAGTTCACAGCTCCTCTGTTTATAACTTATGCTCGTTCTGTAACTAAGCCCCAGTTTCCAGTGGGTGCCACATTTCTGCTCGTGAAGCTGGAACTTCCTGCTTGTGCCTCTGTTGCACACTCATTTTCACTTGAGCCTACATACAGTGTGAGTGGCAGTCTGGAAGAGATAAGTTATGATTTAGCTTTTCCTTGGTCAGTCTTTGCAATTAAAGATTTAAGTTACTGCTTACAGATCAGTTATTAACTACTCAAATGTCACATTTTCCTTTCCTGATTAACATATTCCACCCCCATTCCTTCCCAAATTCCTTTTCTTCCTCTGGAAGGCAAAACACACTAGGAAATCCTCACATTACAAAGCTCTTCTTCCTTCCTCTCAACTTGTACAGCTAAGCAATTAGAGCTGGGCCTCAATCACATCATGTCAGCCTGGAAGGATGAGACCTACATGAAGGTCTTTAGACAGCAGGAAGCAGAGAGGTTTGCAGAACCAGCTAACTTGGACTTTGTTGGGAGATCCAACTGCAGCGCGTCGGGAGCACCGCAGACAGACCCAGGTGTGCGGATCCTCACTACTAGCCTTAGTTACACAGATGCTCTCCGTCAGGAGGGGGCAGATTGCCTGTTGTGTTGCACAATACAGGAACCCTCGCAGCAGCAGTTTGTCCCTGCTGATGATCTTCTGCCGCTGCGGATTTGACAGCACAGGCCTGGCCGACACTGCACATCAAATGGCTTAAGCTCAAGCACTAGCTTTGAAATGCTGAACACACACTTGGTGAACACGGAATGCAACACAGAGTTACCCTAATGCTGCTTCATCACTAGGCAGCCCACCATAAATAAGCATTTTATGTAGCAATAACCTATTAGTCAATGTTTACGAGCAGCAGAAAGATCAAGAAAAGACAAGTGCAATAGCAGTAAGAGGATAGCATCACCTCTGATTTATCAACTCCAATCATGCCCAGGCCGGTGTAAAAATCTAAATTTCATCAGAAAGCTGTTCAGTGTCCTCCAAGAAACACCAACTAGGTCAGCTCCCGGTAAGCAGCTGTCTGTTAGGAACCCACTGGCAGGGAAACTCATCAAAGTTCCAGTGCAAGACTGCAAACCAACTGCATAAAAAGACAGCACTAACAGCTAACGAACAAAACAGGCTGTAAAGTTGCTCTTGAGTGCCTTGACTTCCCACTGAAATCTCAGCCCAGTTCGTATCTGTGAGAGAACCTCCATGTATTTCAGCAAAACCTCCTTGTCTTGAAATAAATTATTTCAGATGAGCTGCCTAAAAGACCACTGCTCTTGAATGCTCATGCAGCCGGCACTGCAATGATGTTCACTTCCTCATGTGCCACTGAAGTCAACATTAACTTCCCAGCCCACAGCTTGTGCACACAAAACTACCCCCAGCACGAGGTGCACTGCAGCCCGGAGCAGCTCTGTACCACAGGCGTCCCAAGTTCCTTACCAGGACGTCTGTGAGGTAATCCACGCTGTAGTTCTCACCATGCCTGCGTGCTTTGCCGTTCACGGACAAAGTATAGTTGTAGTACTTGGAATTTTTCTCCTGTGAAAGAGAAGAGCCATATGCACATTTAAAGGAGTAATACCCATGTTGATTCCTTGGAATAGTCAAGGTGAACTGCCAGCAAGCATGTGGCAAACATAAATATTTGTCAAAACCAAGCTGCAGAATTCTCAAAACTAGTCTTCCTCAGCATCATGTGTTTTAGTATTATACTTTTTTTTCCAGTAATTTTTTACCCAGACCTCTTAATAGGAGTAGCCTTCATTAAAAAAGAAGTTTATATGCAACAGAGGCAAAAAAAGGAAAAATTTTGTAAAATGTTATCATCTTCACCTGTTATTTTATAATCAGCAAAATTAGAACACAAGTTGGACTGTTAAGCAGTCTAAAAAGTATTTCTAAGACAACTGCCACGTACCAAAGCATACCAAAAACTCCATCCGGGAGGTACGTGACCTACTCCCCCTGCATCCTCTGCGCCATACTGAAAGAAAAAGGAGGGAAAAAGTAGAGACCATTATTTGCAGTTTTAAGTATGATAACTAGAAGCTAGGAGTTGCATTTCACATTCATCTGCTTAACACTAGACAGAAACACAGTTAAGGCAATTTCATTTCAGAATAGAAAACCCCAAGTATACACGAGACAGAAGTACAGCACTTAAAAGAGAGCAGAATTAAATAGCTAGAAGGAAGGTGACTGGAAGCTTACCATTCACCAACAAAATACTGTTTCCTGTTTGCACCTGTAAGTATGCAGAAATTCTACAGTGCATATGGTATATCATCATGTAATTAAGGGTGATCAGAAGGCATATACATGACAAACCAGTCTTAGGACCTTGTGAATTGTTAGCACACAAGAAAGCCCTGCGTAAACCAACAGCTGTCTCCACCACCCTGCACAGAGAGGCAATTTGAACCACATCGTCCCTTGTCACCTTAGTGCCAAACACCCCACAGCAGCCGGCCTTGAAGGCAGCAACAGGACAAGCAGCTGCCACCTCAGGGCCAGTCTCAAACAGAGGGTGCCTCAGAACGACACAACAGCTCTCCCTGGGGCCACCCGCTCCCACCTACGTGGTGCCCCGAACGGCTAGGACGGGATTACGCTGAGGCAAGGGATGCTCCAAAGCAGCTTCTCTTCCTCCCATCTGCCTCTGTAACATCAGCAGACACAGAGCTGTGCCTAGCTATGAATATTCATATTCAACACCAGCATTTTCCACCAGAAAGCACAGAGGAAAAAATGAAAACTTTTTAACTCTGCTACCTCCGAATAAAAGTCCATTAGTCAGGAGGCATGCCTCCTCTCAGAGGTTTCATCAGTGCTGAATTTTAAAGACCTACTATAAAGTGCTATGAACTACAACTTAGCTTAACACAAACAAAAAACCAAGCAAGTGATTCAGCAAAAAAATGATGGGTAACATTTCTGGGAAATCTAATAATCTCTGTTCTCCCAATCTGCCTCAGAGAGGCTTTGTAACTGAATGTAGATTTTATTCCAAATATAAAAACCCTGAATATTTGAAAGAAGTGAAAAAGGCAAGTGAGCAGTAAAAACAGAAGCACAAAATACCTCATTCAAATACTTTCCAGCAAAGAATGTTTGATAGCCACACGCAGTTTTGAGCAGGGCAGGGAATGTATATGGCTCTTGGATCTTCTGCCACGATTTGCTGCTACAGTTTCCCTCCAGAGTATTATTGACAACATGATGGTTATGGGGATATTTTCCTGTTAAAATGCTAGCTCGACTGGGACAGCAAAGTGCACTGGGAACATACTGGAAAGACAGCATAAAAAAAAAAAAAGGTAAGATTTGTACTGTAAAACAAGTTTTCCTCAAAATTTGAGGCTTTTAAGTATTAAATAATAGGCTGGCCAGAGTTCAACAACTTTGCAGCTTCAAAGCATTTTAGCACACAGAATTGAATCTCAAGTATTTTCAACGGTGCAGAGCTGCAGGTGAAAGTGGCTTTAGGTGTCTACGTCATATGCTCCGACCCCCCACATTACAGATTAGATTCATTTCATACGCAGCAACAAGCGACCATTAAAATACTGCTGACCAGTTGATCAATTATTTTGACCAGGATAACTAATACATTAGAAAGAGAGGAGCGAAGGAGGTTTTCAGCGTGTATAAAGCTAGAACTTTTAAACAACTACTTCGAGTACTTCCTAGCTCATTACATAGCTATTTAGACTACTCAGTTTTACTCGGCTGGGTAAATAAGTTACCCCAGCAGCTTTTAGGAAGTGAAATTGTCTCTCTCAGACTTTGAGCATAACCACAAGCTCTATTTATGTCAAGCCCTGACACGGGTGTTAAGAAACAAGGCAAAACACCTCGCGAACCGACTGCCCGCCTCGGGATGTCGATGACGGGCGCCCTAAGCGGCGCAGAGGCCGGCAGCGTCGGGAGGCCCGCACGAAACTCACCGCGTTCACGAAGGTGACTCCCATGTGCGCGATGAGGGCGGCCGTCTTCTTCAGCGGGGTCTGCAAGAGAGGGGCCCGGGGGCGTTTGCCGGGACGCCCAGACGCGGAGCTGGTGCCGCCG